CGTGTGCGTGCCGGGGACAGGAGAAACTAACAATGTTTTCTCTTGTTGCATTGGGAGAGGAAATGAATTGTGTCGGAAAGCAAAATTGAATGAATTGAATGGCGGCTGCAGTTGAGGGCCAACCTAGTGTACGTCCCGATCATGCATGTGTGAAAGGGGGGCGGGAGGGGGGGGGGGGGAGGAGCGCAGGGCGGGAGGTGGAGGGGGGGGAAATAGAGTTGATTCGAGCGGTATTTGGGGTGGTAAAACGGAGAACCTGCTGCGCCGCGTTATTAGTGGGGAATCACTATGGGGGGCGAACTCGGTACCGCGGCTGGGGAGTTGAGGGGACAAAATTGATTCGAGCGACATTTTTTGTGGGGGGCGTACCGCGCCGTTGTGCTCTCTTTGGGGGGCGTACCTCTGCGTTTGTTTTTTTAATTCGTTCTGGCTTTCTGTGGGGAGAGCCTTCCGATTTCCCACTATCTCCCCTCTCCCACTATCGCTCTCCCTCTCCCGTCTTCTCTCTCTCTCTCTCCTCCTCTCTCTTTCTCTTCTTCTATCATTATGGGCGGCGATGGTGTCAAATTGCGCGAAGCGTGCATCCCCCTCCCTCTTTCTCTTCTTCTATCATTATGGGCGGCGATGGTGTCAAATTGCGCGAAGCGTGCATCGCCCTCCTCCTCTGTCTCCTCCGTCCATGTTTCCCTTTTCTTCTACCCCTTGAAGTATGGGAATTGTGTGAAAAGTGGATCGAAGTTGTGACAGGCAAGGAAACAGCGCAGGAGGGAGGAAGGAGAGAGGGGGGGGGAAGAATTCACGAAGAGAAGGGGAAAGAGAGAGAGAGGGAGTCCATGAAGGGAGGGAAGAGGGAGAATCCATGGAGGGAAGGAGGGAGGAGAGAGAGGGGGGGTCCATGGAGGGAGGGAAGAGAAGGAGAACCGTCGAGGGAGCGACGAGGGAAGAGGGAGAATCCATGGGACGAGGGAAGAGAGGGAGAATTTACGGAGGGAGCGAGGAGAGGGAGAATCCATGGAGGGATGAGGAGAGGGAGAATCCCATGGAGGGAGGGAGGAGAGTGAGAATCCATGGGGGGAGGAGGAGAGGGAGAATGCACGGAGGGAGGAGGAGAGGCAGAATCTCGCGGAGGGAGGGAGGAAAGGCAGAACATGGAGGGAAAGAGGAGAGAGAGGGAGAACCTATGGAGGGCGGAAAGAGAGAGGGAGGAGACGGAGAATCCATGGAGGGAGGGAGGAGAGAGAGGGAGGATCCAGGGAGGGAAGGAGTAAAAGGGAGAATCGATGGATGGAGTGAGGAGAGGGGGAATCCATGGAGTGAGGGAGGAGAGGGGGAATCCATGGAGGGAGGGAAAAGAGGGAGAATTTATGGAGAGCGGGAGGAGAGAGAGGGAGAGAATCCACGGACGGAGGGAGGAGAGAGAAGGGAGAATTCATAAGGGAGGAGAGAGAGGGGGAGCGAGGAGAGTAGTCAACTGTGGGAGGGAGGGGAAGAGAGGGAAGTAGAGTTGATGGAGGGACGTAGAGACACAGAGGGAGAATCCATGGAAGATGGATGACGAGAAAGGATTAATCATCTGACTAGTGGAATTCTTATCAAAGCAAATTCCTTTCGAAGAGGCAAAATCTCTCTTTCTGTCTCTCTCTCTCTCTCTCTCTCTCTCTCTTTCTCTTTCTTTCTCTCTCTCTCTCTCTTGCTGTGGCGATATGGACGTCAAGAATGTGGGCGATGTGATGTTAGCCCGTTGCACCCTCGAATCCTTTTTCCACCCGCGCCCCTACTTCCTCGCGGGGCCATTTTTTATTCCGATTTCTTGAAGATATAATATATAATATAAAGAAGAAAATAGTTTCATCGCCTAAGCCTCGGTCTTGCTTTTTGATGTCGATGGTGGTGTGCATTGCATGATTCTGTTTAGCCGTGTTCTTATAACGTACGTCTCTTTATATCTATCTTCTTTTTGAATAAGACCGAAAACGTGTTTCGTTTGTGCAGAGTAATAAACCTTTTCTTTGATGATTTATTCATCGTGTTTATGTTATTTGTGTCTTTCTGTTTGTACCCCTTTCCTTTTCTCTCTCTCTCTCTCTCTCTATTTTTTTTCTCCTGTGGAAATTCATTGGAATGCAGGATGATGAGTGATTATAAGGTCGAGATGATAAACGATGGCATGAGTGAATTCTTCGTGGAGTTTCATGGGCCCAAAGAGAGTAAGTGCGGCTGCTGCTGTTCTGTCCCTTTTAGGCGAAAAAATACCTGTCTCTCTGTCTCCGTTTTACGCGGCAATACTCGTGCGCCTTGAGCGCATCGAGTTTCGTGGCCCCGAAGAGAGCAAGTGCTGCTGTCCAGTGTTTTTTTTTTTTTTTTTTTTTTTTTTT